ATTTTGAAGATTTGCAGTAATGTTTATAAAGAGTTTGACACACACTACTCAAGAGATGAGTGATTATTATAATGAAAGGAAATGTAGATTCTCATCAGCAAGTTGGTCCTTCTGTCCCAGAAACGGGCAGGCTCTCCCAACACTGGCCAAGGTCAGGGCTGCCATCAGCCAAGGCAGGGGAACATTCTCATTTTCACTTTCAAAGTCAAGAAAATGGTACAGATCTAAAGTAGAAAGGAACGAGCAGCACATGTTTTTAAATATTCATAAGGGCTGGAAATGTCTTACTCCTTTCGTTTTCTCTGCCATCTGCTTTTGTTTCTTTTCTTTTCATTCTTATGCCACAGCTGCAAATGAAAACAACCATACAATAACTCAAGTTAAATAAAAAAAAAAAAATCAAAATAAAAACAATCTGAGGGGTAGAAAGAAAAGATGAATTATAAAGTTTTCCCCTGAGCTCACAAAGCAGCAGAAGCAAGAATGTTTGATGTGAGTTAAACCTTCTGGAAACCAAAATCCATGTACCATGTTTATAATAACCACGGTAAGAACAACCATCGTTTACTAAGTGGCCAGTGTACCACTTGATGACCAACATCTCTAATCCCTAAAGCCATTCTTCAAAGTAGGTAAATTAAACCCACTTTGCAGAAAAAGCAGTTGCAGATCATAGAGAGAAAATAGGTTTTTAATGGTGATACAGCTAATAAGAGATGAAATTGAGATTTGAACCCAGGTCTGTCCGAATACAAAGCCCCAGCATTTTCTCTACCACCCTCTTCAAAAATGAGAAGGGAGTTGAGAAATTTAATTTGGGAAATATTTAGGGCAGACCATTTGTACTAAACTGATTTATTCAGATAATTAAAATCTGTGATTATACCTCTAATTAAAGTTAGCTCAGATAATTGGTTGCTGTATTTGTGAATGTGCAATTAGAGTCTTCCACATAATTGCGGGGATTTCAGCGTCATACTTCCCTCGCATTCACTGCATCCCGGAGCTTTGGTCCACGGGCCTCTCTCCTACACAAGGCCGCATTAGAGCTCTTGGGGGCTCTGGGCCCAAGCACCGTGACTTGTGATACCAACAGCAGGATCTGGACTCAGCCTCATTTAACATGTCTTTGTCCAGAAGTCAATGAACACCTCATCTTCAAGTGCAATGTAAAAAGCTCTTACAGCCTACACTGTTGTCCTGAAAACCCCGAGCAGCATGTACCTGAAGAAAAACTGGCAGCAGTGGTCCTCATGTGTTAATTACACTTTCGAAGTCTATTATGCATAGAAAGGGCACCTGCTGGCAGTGAAAATGACTAGAATCTGCCCTTCCTGTGCAGTGAGTAAATTGAGAGTTCATTTCTACAGGAGATAATAGTTTTCAGATTCCATTTCGTGTATCCCCTGCATGGGGACGTACTTAACATTTAAATCATCTGCAGAGGAACAAAACTCCTTCAAATTTACATGTTTCAAGCTCCTAGTACTTTACTTAAAATGCTAGTTATCCCTGCTGGCTCTTACCACCAAGGATTAAACTCAACAGTGGTGAAAGTCACTGAGCACAATAGAATAAAGTTATTAGCATTGACTCAAATTTCAGGACATTTGTAGTTTCTGACCAAAGCAGTTGGTAGCAGGCTGAAGGTGATCAAATCGAGCCTTGAATGGAGGATGTATTTTTTCTCTTGGGGTCTTTTATTTCATCATTCTTACATCTTGGAGTTAATAAACAGATGCCAATCCCCACTGGCCTGTAATCATCCTCTGGCCAAATGTCAAAAAAAAGTTCTCTCGTGAAAACAAGAGACGAGGAGGAGACTGCAATCACATACGCAGAAACCTCCAAGAAGGAGCCTAATCAAAAAACCCACTCAGGCTCTGAAAGATACCAGTCTTCACTTTGGTTTTCTGGAGCGCAAGTTTGGGGTGACGAGGGCTTAATGGTCTTCATTGTTGAGTGTTCCCTCTGAAGGAAGACTTGCCAGTGTCACCGCGCTCGGTCAGGCTGCTGACACAGCTTATGAGAGGGCTGGCGTTAGAGAGGAAGTTGGAAAGAGGACCTCGGATCACCTTCCACAGGAAAGGGCAAAACAGCCGATAAATCCTTTAAGCAAACAAGGATGGAGGGCTGGAAACAACTGGCTAGAATAAATGCTTTTCTTAAAGGGAAACTTGTTAGCTATGGAAACCACACTTTCTCACTGTAGAAACAGAATAAAATAAAATAAAAATCATGCAGAATTCCTCACCCTCCTCCCCATCACCAATCCCTGCTAACACTGTGGTATATGTCCTCTTTGATTTCTGCCTGTGGGTATCTGTGTGTGTATCCACATACATACATCTACATATATACACACACACACATTTTTGTGCTTTCTATGCACTCATAATGTTTGTTTTTATAAAAATGGAATCAGACAGTACATGATATCTATATTGGAGCAAGTTACTAAACTTCTTGGGGTCTTGGTTTCCCTATCTGTGAAATGGAGCTAATAATACCTGTCTTACGGGGTTGCGAGAAGAATGAAGAGACATCACAGACTGGGGCACAGGAGATGTTCAACCGTGGCAGCTATTGTTATCACTGTAAGTGACAAATCATTTTTCTCTGCACAGTTCTGGGGATGTATGCTGTTAGTTTTAAGCTAGCCGACAATTTAGCAACCAAAGCTTCTCAATAGAAAAATAAGGTTGTACTATTCGGGAGGCAGAGGGACTACGATGACTGCCATCTCCTACCAATACCCACAAAGAGAAGCCCACCGGTGTCCCTATCTGAGGCTCAGCATCAAGATACATATGTGAGTCTCTTCCAGGGAGAACCTAAAGGCTTCTTCTTAGAGCACGTGCCTGGGTTGAAGTGTGCAGGGGGTGTCTGTGGTAGTGGGGTGGGGGGACCAGAGACACGTGCATAGGGAAGGGACCCGTGTCAGTGTGTGTGTATGAGTATGTGTGGAAGTAGGTGTCTATGACAGTATTACATGTTGGAGAGACTGGGACTCACTGTGTGAGTCTGTCTTAAGGAACATACGCCCCCTTTCTACCTTTTCCATTTATTGCCCTTCCCATCTTCCTCCACCTTCCTGGGCTGTGTGTCTTGTCTTCTTTCCCCTTCTCCCTCCCCCTACCTCCTCCTTCCTTTCAGAGCATCAGTGTCCTCCCCCATGCGGCCCCCAGTCCTTCATTCAAACAACAAACTACTAGGTAGCAAACACAGTCCTCTCCTCTGAGATATGTGGCAGAATGGAAAAACCAAGATAGTCGGTTTAGAAGCTGAAAAGGAAGCACCTAGTCTGAGCAGAGGAACAGTCCCTTATTTCTTAAGAGGTGGGAGAAAGGCACAGAGAACACCTACCTTGATAAGAAAGATACTCAGTGCTATGCATTGCCCTGGAGAGGGTGACTGATTTTTACTTGATGGCCCTGAGCTACAACTTGGTTGTACACATGGCTTCTTGGGATGAGAGTAAACCCAACACACTGAAATTACAAGTACTGCAGAATACCTTTAAGCTCCCAGGACAATTTGGCTACTTCGGTGAACCTTTTCAGTGATAGGAGTGCAAAATGGGCTGGAAGAACCCAGAAAAAATTATGACTAAACTGGATGCAATCTGAGCTGATGGTAAATATCCTAAATCGTCTATTCTTTTTTTTTTTTTATGATTATTTTTGAAGAAGAGAGGGGGAGGGGGACTGAGCGGGGGAGGGGCAGAGAGAGAATGGTGAGGGATACATAGGATCCAAAGCAGGTTCTGCGCTGACATCAGAGAGCCTGATGGGGGCTTGAACTCGCAAGCCATGAGATCATGACCTGGGCTGAAGTCAGATGCTCAACCAAGTGAGCCACCCAGGTGCCCCCTAAATCATCTGTTCTCAAGTGACAGGGCCCCCAGTGGGTCCCTTCCTCCTGAAGCTCTCAATTTCTAGCAGGCAGTACCTTCCCTTAAAAAAAATTTTTTTTTAAATATTTTATTCATTTCTGAGAGAGAGAGAGAGAGATAGCATGAGCAGGGGAGGGTCAGAGAGAGAGGGAGATACAGAATCTGAAGCAGGCTCCCGGCTCTAAGCTGGCTGTCAGCACAGAGCCCGATGCGGGGCTTGAACCCACGAATTGTGAGATCATGACCTTAGCCAAAGTCAGACGCTTAACCAACTGAGTCACCCAGGTGCCCCAGTACCTTTCCTATATATGTACAGGGCTCCCTTATCAATGTCTGCTGACTTGCGCTGTCTGGAGACAATGTCTTTAATAACATTACACTGGAGAAAGAAATTATTCAGGAGAAAAACAGATCCAAAATCAGTTACACAGACACTCTTTTTTGGTAATCTGTGGAGGACAGATAGTGACAACATATCTGCAGAAACACTCTGTGAGCACCTACCATGAGTCAGCTTTTCTACATCATGTCCTTTAATCTGCCGTATCATTTATCTTTACATATTATGTGTGGAACAACTTCATTTTGCAGATGAGGAAACAAAGTCTTAAGCCAAGCAAGTTGCCCAAGGTGGTAGAGCTGAGTCTAAAGCCGCCTTCCTTCCTTCCATTAAAACACATTTCCCGAAACAGTGAAACTCCCGTCAAAAAACTGCAGAGGGTTTTGAAGTCTGGCTTGTGCTCCCAAACCACAGCTGAAGGCGAGTCCTCCAGAATGTGCCAGGGTATGGCTGAGACTTGAAGACCCTGGGGACCTCCAATGTTCTCACCAGTCCCTGATCCATCTTGGGGGGAAAAAAACCACACCACTATTTGGTGCTGTGGTTTCTCCAAAGTGAGAAATGGGAAAAGTAATGATCTACCACCTCGAACTTTTAAGAATGCCATGACACAGATGAGAACAGTTTAGAAACAGAAGGGCCATGTAATTGCATGGTCTAAAACCCATGTCATTTTGAAGTTAATATTTGTAGTTTTGTAATCAGGTGCATTGCAAGTTATGGACCTAACATCTTCATCAGGGACGGGGGCAGTGGTGGCCTTACCAGCAGTAGTCCAGCAGATGTGGAGGCAGGACGGGGATGTACACGTGCTGCCAGAACATGGGGTACAGCATCGCGGCAGACCCGTGGATGCAGGCAGTCAGCTACAACAGAAGCAAATCAAAGAATCAGAGCTAAAAAATCACAGTGAGGGGGAACTCAGGTGGCTCAGTCTGTTAAGTATCCGACTTTGGCTCAGGTCATGATCTCATGGTTCTTGAGACTGGAGCCCCACATCAGGCTCCCTGCTGTCAGCGCAGAGCTTGCTTTGGATCCTCTGTCCCTCTCTCCCTCTGCCCCTTCCCCGCTCGTATTCTCCCCTCACCCCTAAAATATTTAAAAAAGAATTAAAGTAAAGTGATGCTGTCACTGGACTCGATCAATAAAATTAAATATACTTTTTGATATATTTAAAATTATAAGTTAACATAATCATGCAAATTTAAATTTAGTAAAAGCTTGCTTTTCAAAAGAAATCTACCCCCCCACCTTCCCTGCTTATGAGGCTAATGCACAATGACAGTAAAAATTTTAGAAAATGGAAGAAAAGGGATAAAAGTCTTCACCATCTGAAAAATAACTTGACATTTTGGGGTATTATATACACACTTTTATTTGCTTTTCTAATAAAATTAGGATTATTGTAAATACAGTATTCATTTGCCTTTTTTTTAAAGTTTATGTTTATTTGCTGGCATCTTCCCATATCTTCAAATATTCTTAGAAAACTTATCTTCTAATGACACTCAGTGAAATTTCCCATACTATATTTAACTACTCTCCCACCATTATGTTATATAATCATATCAATAGTTTTGTAAAAAGTTTATTTATTTGAGAGAGAGAAAAAGAGCATGAGCAGCAAAGGGGCAGAAAGAGGGAGACAGTAATCCCAAGCAGGCTCCATGCTGTTAGCGCAGAGCTGGAATCGGGGCTCAATCCCAGAACACGTGAGTTCATGACCTGAGCTGAATCAAGAGTCAGATGTTTAACAGACTGAGCCACTCAAGTGCCCCATGTCAATACTTTTTATAAATAGTTCCTAGATACAGGATTCAGAGACAAAGACTATAAATATTTTAAGGCACTTAATAACTATAAATATAATAAATGTATTAATGTAATAAATAAAGGGCGAAGGCTCTTGCACCCCCTGCCTCCCGCCAGCCATGTACTAGAATGTTCTCTCCATACTTCACCAGCACTAAGAACCGTAGTCAAGTTAGTAGCTTTGAAAGTGTATCTATCTGGATTTTCTTCTTATTCTTCTGATCACAACTAAGGCTTAACATCTTCTCACTGTTTCTTGGTGATATTTCTTAGGTAAATGGTCTGTTCACCTCCTTAGTCCACTAATGAGTATTAGTATTTTGAAAATGTAATTTACAAGCAAACACTGGATATACAAAGGATGCTAATCCTTTGTAACATTCCTGAAAATAATTTATCCTTCTGTAACTTCCTTTGCATTTTTGGGGGAAGAGAAGGCTTAAATAATTACACAGACAAATCTTTTCCTTCATGATGGTTTCTAATGCTGTTACACTAAGAAAGTCCTCCAAATTCTTCCCCAGTATTTAACTCTTTGATCCATCTGGAATTAATTTAGGTTTAAGGACAGAGGTGAGAATTTATTTTTTCCACATAGTTAATCAATTGCTCCAACACTGTTTATTGACTAATCCTTCCTCTCCCTCTTCTTTTGACGCATTCCTTCTTTTTCTTAAGAGCTAGACACATCATATCAGGATTTAATAGAATTTAAAATTAGGGACAAAGATATAACGGAATAAAATTGCTACAAAATTCAATATAGAAGGAAAAAACCCAACACCTTTGGAGATATGGCTATGAAGTGACAAAAGCCAACAACACATGTTTCTTTCTGCCTTTTTTCTTTAATGTTTCTTTGGTTTCTGGGAAGCCTGTTCCCATGAGGACTTTGCTTCTTTTGGAAGCTGTTAACTGGCCTTTGCTGACAGAAGGACATTTACGTGGAGAAAGAGTGACTTGCCAAGGCCCAGTTAAAAGAATCCCAGAGGTTAGTGTAACATGAACGGCTTTAAATTGGATATTCTGCTGATGTTTCACAGTTGTGAGAGCTGTGTATTAAATCCAGGACTGCTACTTTCTTACCCCCTCCTTTTCCCTCCAGACCCTGTTCTTTAAATCAGGTACATGTCATGAACAGGAGCTGATCCAGCAAGCTCTCAAGAGCTGTTCCCAGCGACTCTGCCAAGGCTTGTAGGTTTAATCCATCCCGTCTCAACCCATTTCAGTCGGAGTCCATATAAAGAAGGCTGTCACATTTTACATGACTAATCTCTTCAGGGTTAGGAGAGATGAAAAATCTTTGCTGGTGTTGTATGAGTGGAAAATGAACGAACTTCACTCCAACTGCAGCCTCAGGTCGGGCTGGAGGGTTACCCTGGCTTTGGGCCGCAGATCTTCCTGCCCATCCTTTTACTAGCTGCCAAAGTATTCATCATAAAATGCAGGTTCAGTCATGTAACGTTCTACTCGAAGTCTCTGGGGGCACGTCTGGAGCAGGCATGTCTCCACCAGCTTCCAGGCTACCTGTGGAACAGCATCTCCATGGTTTTTACTGCCTTCTACAAGTTTATACTTTGAATAAATCATTTCAGACTTAGAAGTTGCTATGTACTCCTTTCCTGGATATGTGCCCCTAGCAAACTCCTCCTCTTCTGGGTCTCTGCGAAAGCACTACTTTCCCTGCATGGCTCTCCTGGGCATAAGCCCCCATTATTAATGGGACTAGATCTGTCTGCATGTTTGTCCTCTTACTGTAAGGTACAGAAAGGCCACATCTCTCTTCATCCTCATGTTCTCAGTGGCACAGCATAGATGTAGGTGGGAGTTAATACTATTTAATTCCATAAATTAAAAAAAAAAAACAATTCCTACTTAAAATACATTCACAACATAAAGATAGTGGCCTGGCTTTTAACTACTGCACCAACCTTTCCATGAGTCTCACAGAGTGGGGTATCTGACTGGAATTCCAAAACAATAATGGCAAGCCTAGACATCCAAATATGCCACTTTTGGGAAATCGTGTCAATGGATTCATTCATTCATTCATTCGTTCAACAATAGGTCTATTCTATAACTCTACAACACATCAAATAAAGTAAAAGCACTTTAAAATCTATAAGGTGTCATACAAATATAAGATGTCCTCATCACATGAATTCATTTGTAATTCTCTTTGAAAGTCATTCAATAGATTGTTCCTGGTTGAGAGAGAACTTGATTCTCTGCCTCTCTTTAGCTTAAATTGGTTTGAGTCAAAAATCCTATTTCAAGCGATAAAGTGGCAGAAATCTTATCTCCAGACAATGTTCTTTTCATGTCTCCTTTTCCTAAAAAAAAAGAAAAAAAAAAACCCTAAAAGCTAAATGTCAAGATTTTAAAATTACCGCTCTCATAAAAATCAAACTTTTAAGGTATCTGATCATCATCTTCATTGGAAGTTTCCTGAAGGCCAAATCTTTGCAACTGAAATAAAATGCATTTACCCATTAAGAAAACAAACAAACAAGAGAACTGTTGGACTCTTTTCCAAAACAGTGAGTGGCAAAACAATGTATGCTGTTACTTAGGAATAGCGGTGAGTCAACCACAAGCGAAGTGTTAGAATTTATCTGAGCTTCATCAGAAATAACACTAAATCCCATAAATTATCATCAGCCACTTATTTTAAAAACACCTCTAAGGCCAACTCCATGTTTAAAAATAAGGCTCCTAAAAGCCTATGCTCATTCCTTACAGACTACAAAATTTTAAAGTAATGGAAGTATACAATTTGGATTATAGGCAACAAAGGGACATTGTGAATATTTAATTGAAGAGCAAGTTGAAGAAAATGATCCTATCAAAATCTCACTCAGTGGGAGAATAGAAAGATAGTATGTGTAAAATTTGCCCAAAGTCATTAGTCACAATGAATATTCATCAGAAGCCAATTATCAATCCCATTTAATGACACCCCAAAAGATTTTGCCCTGAAGCAGCTGAATAGTCTAAGACTCCAGACAAAACTAGACAAATTATACAGCCAACAGCCAGTCTAACCAGGACACAGATTGTAAAGCAAACCACTGGTGGGTTTCTGGACGCACTTTTCGTAAACTCTGTCCTCAATTAAAGGTGCACAAGGTCAGTTCTATCTTGAAGCTTTCTGTATGGCTCTGTTAGTTTCCTTTGAGGCAAAGGAAGAGAAAGAAAGAAGGCATGAGGGATAGGACGTGGAGACTGATCAACGACGTAGCTGGAAAATCACAAAGAGTGTATGTATGCACATACGTGTGCATGTGTGTATATAAGGATTCTTAATGGCGGCGTGGCAGTTTAACACGAAACAAAAGTAAGACGCTCCCCATTAAAAAAAAAAAAAAAAAAAGGAATCCCTACAGTATATGCGCCAGGTACCATGTTGGGGGTTTTAAGATACTGCAAAGTATTTAGAATTGTGCAAGTGTGTATACATATACACTCACCACCACATTTCACAGATACGGAAACAGCCTCTAAGGTGAAATAACTTGCCCAAAGCCACACAGCTCATAAGTGATGGAACTGGGACTCACATCCAGCCCTGTCAGATTATAATGGCCACTGTGTTTCCACAACGTGTAATTAAAAAAATTTTTGCGTGTCTATACACCGTGCTGAGGATCCTGAACTAGGTGAGATAATGTCCCTATCAGTATGGCCTAATTATGTACAAATACAACTGCCTTGCTGTTAGATGACCAAATCATCTAGGGTAAAATGCCAATTAACAGAAAATAATCATTTTTTAAAACAAACACAGATCTGAAAGTTTTCTGGGGGTTAGTTACACTTAACTAAAGTGTTATACTGTCTTCAGTCCACTGGGAATTCTACACAGTGGCATAATAATTTTTGGTCAAATGGAAAGGCTTATATCCCAATCTGGCAGACCTATTTGAAAGCCTGGCTTTCCATCAAGTTCCCTTTCATATACTTTCATGGAGCTTCCATTAACTCTTTTTGATCTGAGCAAGCTGCTTCCTCTCCTGGATCTCAATTTCACCTATATGGAAAATGAGAAGTTGGG